CGGGACTAAAGGTCTCAACCCCATTGGTACCGGTTCGTGGCACGAACCGGTACTAATGGGCACATCAACCGGGACTAAAGGTCCCATTTGAACCGGGAGTAATGCCTGTATGGTGCCCTTACCGCTCGAACCGAAACTAATGCTCACATTAGTCCCGGTTCGTAACGCAACCGGGATTAATGCTTTTTTCTGGCCGAACGAAAGCCCTGTTTTCTACTAGTGGAACTAATCACTCGGTCTGATTTACAACCCTGAACTACGAAACCGGTTGAAATACACCCTGAACTAACTACGTATAGGAGGTCCAAAACTCAAACCTTGGTCTCGGTTTTGTGTCCGTCAAGCGGTTTTGACCAAAGTCAACACCGACTGGACTGCTGACTAGGCACCCAGGAAATAAAAAAATAAAAAAACTTCTCTCTCCCTCCTATCTCTCTTTCTCTTTCTCCGCCACCGGGTACTGTGGATGCCCATACCTTGCTACTAGTATTGCTGCTGCTGCCTGTAGAAAGTGAAGCGATGAAGAATAGACAATTGTATTGATTCTGTGTACATTTATACAGAGATTACACACGCATCACAGCTACCCTAACTAACTCAGTTATGAACAGGATAACCACCCATGCAGATCGTGGGCAAACAGATTTTGGCTGAATTTCAGCCATCTCGGGTTGGGGCGAAATCTTATCTTTCGGCCAAAATTGCCAATTTTGGACAATTTTTAGTCAAATTTTGATCAAATTTCGGCTGCTTTCTTTTGAAATGGTCGAAATTCAGTCATCTCGACTTGGGGTGAAAAAAAATCTCAAACCGAAAATCAAAACGTTGCGTGGTAGAAGGAGGAGGCGGCTGAGAGAGCCATGCAGCCCGCCACTTGGCGAGGTTCCTCATCTCGTCCTTGTCCTCCTCCTCCCCCGATGACAACACAACAACGACATGATGGATGATGACTCGCCGCCTGCCAAGGATAGCCATCGAGACCCCACGGGGAAGCAGCCAGCAAGGAAGTGGTGTACTCCAACCGCTCCCACTGTTATGTTTATATTTCAGTTGTTTTATCTTCTACACTTCCACTTCAGTACAACCCCCCTCCCCCTCCTCTAAACACATCAATGGATGAGATTTATCCATACCCCTTCATTAGAAAGGATATGATGGCCTTTTTTCTAAAATACGTCGCCCGCCCGCCGATATGTATACGCCGTACGCCTATTGGGCCGGCCCATTGATGACGGCTGTAGGGGGTGTGGTGTTCACGGGATGTAAAAACTCATAAAAAAAATAGGAATCGAACCAAGGACCTCTTGCTCGTGTGGTTAAGAGGCATACCACTTGAAGGACGGAGGGAGTACAATGTTTGTGAAAAGTAAAAAGCGTACGGATTTAAGAATTACTCCGTCCGGATTTGTTGGGCAGTTTTTGGTATTTAATCTGCCCAATTAGAGAGCAGGATTGAAGGATATTAACTATCATAAATTAATTGCCAAATTGCCTCGCATCTCCCATTGCTCTCGCATGCATTGCTTTTTTTCCTTACCATGCGCATATATATTGGCTGCATGGCCCATGGCCCAATCATAGCGCAACTTTCGCTTAACAATTTGCAATGACTAACAATTTTCCTATTAATTCAGGCCTAGGGAATAGCAACCTGCCTTACAAAAACGGACTTCCACCGGTGGCTTTCCAGCCTAAAAATCCCGTACAGAGGTAACACCAACGCAGAATTCAGACACCTTTTCAAAAGAATTAACATTTCTTCGAAATTCTTAAAAAATACAATAATTTTCTAAAATTCAACAATTTTTTTAAAAACTTGCACACATTTTGAAAATTTCACTTTTTAAAAAGCATGAACATTTTTCGAAAATTTTGAACAATATTTTTTAAAAGCATGAACATTCAAATTTTTTAAAGAGATATCTTAGTTCAAAATGTTAAGATTTTTTTTCAAACAACATTTTTAATAATTTTAAAGAGAGATATGAAGCATGCAAATTTTGAAGAACCAAAATTTTGAACAATTTTCTGAACACGAGGGCTTTCGTTTTGGCCTCTTATGTGGCAAATGTAGTCTTTTGAATTTTCACGCTGATTTTTTTTAGTGTTTCCAAAACTGATTTTGTTCTATTATATTCTGGATTTTTGTTTCTTTTTACTATTATTGTTTCCTCTTTTTTCAAATGCGTGAAATTTTCATAAATTTGAAAATGGTTGTGTTTCCAAAAAAGTTCATGTTGATCGATAATGCCAAAAATCGTAAATAACAGAAGCACCCATTTTTTGACAATTTTCAAGAAATGGCTAGCACATAAAAAAATGTGCATGTTGATTTATAATGACAGAAATTGCAATTAATAGAAGCATTAAAATTAGAAAAAAAAAACTATATGCTCATGAATGCATTTGTGTGGCTAGTGTGGCCCACTCCTCTGAACTAGTGATTTTTTGGACTATGGATAAATGACCCTAACTTCTTGCAGCTGCACGGACATATGATGTATCAATGCCAGTTTGAACGACTTCCGACATTGTTTGCACGTTGTGATACATCCAGCCATTTAGCGATCCTTTTTCACCGAGAAAACTCTAGAAAATGCAAAAGTTATCAAAAATTCGAAAAACTTGGCATGATGTCTCGAATTGGTCATAGAAGCTGGCGGAAAAAAATTTGAGGCCATTTGATGGATGTCAAAAAACAAAATGCTTTCAAACGGACCCTTCTGGTCTATCCAAACACCCTCTGTTGAACATTGTCTATTTTAAGACATCATTGAAATGATCATAACTTTTGCAAGTAGGTGTGCATGCCCATGGCAGACATCCTTGCCTGTTTTGAACGACTTTCAACACCGTATGTAAGTTGTGACATGTCCGGCCATTTATCGGTATTTTTTAACCAAAAAAACCCCAGAAAGTGCAAAATTTGTCGAAAACAAAATCAACTTGGCATGGTGCCTTGAATTGATCATACAAGCACATAAAAAAATTTGGGCATTTCAAGGATATAGAGAAACAACATGCTCCCAAACAGAGCCGTCTAGCTTACCTGTACACTCTCCGTTGAACATGGCCTATTTTTTGGACATTCTTGAAATGGTCCCAATTTTTGCCACCAGACGGGCACACCCATGGTAGGCATCCATGCCAGGTTTGAACGACGTTTGACAATATATGCATGTTGCTGCACGTCCGGTCATTTATCAACTATTTTTCATCGAGAAAACTACAGAAAATGCAAGAATTGTCGGAAGGTTGAACAACTTGGAATGGTGCTTTTAATTGGTCACATGAGCTCGTGGAAAAGTTTTGAGGTCATTTGAGGGTGCCCCAAAAAACATGCTCTCATACGGATCCTTCTGGCGTCCGAACACCCTACGCTAAAGATGGTCTATTTTTTCACATAAATGAAATGATCCCAACTTTTTCCATCTGACGGGCGTGCCCATGGTAGACATCCATGTCAGGTTTGAATAATTTTCAACATTGTATACAAGTTGTGTCACTGTCAACCATTTATCAGCCATTTTCACCAAGAAAACTCTAGAAAATGCAAGAATTGTCGAAAACTCGAACAACTTGGCATGGTGCCTTAATTGGTCATATAAGCTCGTGGTAGGCATCCATTTGAAGTTTAAACGATTTCTGACATTGTATGTACGTTGCGTCACATCCGCCATTTATCAGCCATTTTTCACCGATAGACTCTAGAAAATGCAAGATTTATTGAAAACTCAAACAACTTGGCATGATGCCTTAAACTCATGGAAAATATTTGGGGTCATTCGATGGATGGAAAAAAAAGACGCCCTTCTAGCCTACTCGAATACCCTGTGTTGAACATGGTCTGTTTTTAGACATGCATAAAATGACCACAACTTTTGCCAGCTGGTGGGTATGCCCATGGTAGACATTCATCACAGGTCTGAAGGAAAAAAAATATAAAATCATAATTTAAGCAGGTCCTTAAAACTATTATTTTAAGTTTTTAAAATAACTAATAAATACACAGGGATAAAATTAAAAACAACAAATGATTTTTTAAAGCATTTAATAGTTATTTCATGGGAAGAATTTAAAATCATAATTTAAAACATTTGTCTAAAACTGTTATTTTGGTATTTCAAACAATATTTCAATTATTTGTAACTGGTTTCAAAAATAATAATAAAGTTCAAAAAGGAGAAAAAAATAACCAATGAAAAAGAGAAGACTAACAAATAATCAGAAAAAAAAAATGTCTAGGCCTTGGCTCAACTATTGCTCTGCCAGGTGCACGTTGGGAATTTCTAAAACCGTTTGCATTTTTGGAAATTGTTCATGTTTTGGTAAAATGTTTCGACATATTAAATTTTTTATGTCATATTTTGTTTTCAAAATTTAAAAAATGTTCATGTTTTCACATTTTGTACATAATATAAAAAAGGTTCAGGAATATAAAAAATGTTCATGCTTTTCAAAAAGTAAGTTACAAAAATTCTTATTTTCATTTCTTGTTCACAAATCAATAATAGTAATTATTTCCAAAAATGTTCCTCCTTTCAAAAATTCTTCACAAATCTATTTTTTTACTTTTCCAAATTCTGATCGGAGTTTCAAGAAATGTTTATTTTTTGTAAACAAATCATGTTTACTTTTGTCTCACATGGACTTATTTTTAGTGGAGGCACTGCAATACAGGCAGCCAAACAGAGCACACCGCACGAGCAGGGGAGGAGGGTTTTAGACGTGGTAGCTATACATGCGGTGGCTTGGTCAGCGATGGTTGCACACCCGTCGTCGCCGCCGCCGGAAGTTTATCTCCTTCCCTCTATCTCGCTAACACAAACCGTAATGGTCACTTATTAATCTCTTCTCTCGTCGACTACCACCCTACTCCGGCAACCACTTCCATTTCAAAGTCCAGCTCCAAACTCCTCTTCCACGCGGCGCTTGAGCTCGGCGGCCGGTCAGCCATGGCTTCCCACCCATCGTCGCCGCTGCCGGAACACCCTATACCACCCGCTCCCAGTCCCACCACCATAAGTGACCTCGGCGACGACCAGCTCCAAGAGATCCTCATCCGCCTTCCAGACCTCCCCAGCCTCGCCTCTGCCGCCTTCACCTGTCACGCCTTCCTCGGCGCCGTCCGCTCGTCCCGCGCCTTCCGCCGCCGCTTCATCGCGCTCCACGCGGCCCCGCTCCTCCCTCGCTTCCTCTCACACACAATAACTGCCCTCCCGGCCTTACGGCGCCCCTCCGCCAGATTCACTCTCCTCCAAGACGATGACACTTCCGAGTGGGACTGGGTGGTCGATTTCTCCGATCCTTCGATTGCCTACAACGGCTCCATGGCCATCAAACACCGGAGCAGCAAGCAGGGAGTTCGGTACAACCCCCAAATGATGGCCCTGTTTCTCCGCCCCAAGGAGCACCACGACATGCCCGCCGGCACCACCCTTGGGTTCCACACATTCTCCTGCGAAGAGGATCAGAAGCCGTCCCGTGTGGTATGTGTCCGTCACGACTACTCACGGCCTTGCGCACGCGTCGCTGTCTTCTCATCGGACACCATGGAGTGGCAGATTTTCCCGGAGATCGCGATGCTGCTGCCTCAGGGCTTCAGGAGCACAGCTAGCACCGTGCTGGATGGGTTTATATGTTGGCAATGCGAGTCCATTACCGGGCTGGCTGTCAGCGAGTACATTTTCGTGCTCAACACAGACACATATCAGTTCTCTCGAATGGATCTGCCGCCGCCCTTGAGAAAGGTACATCAAACATTTCAGATTGGTCAGATCAAAGATGGGAAGCTCTGTATCGTAAATGAGAAGGAATGCACGTTTAGCCTTTGGATCTGGACAGCCAGCGATGACGGCATCGAGAGATTTGTGCTGCACAAGACGTTCCCGTTGTACACTCGCTTTATGGATGTCACCAACTGTTCAGTCAAAGATACAATCTCAGTGCGGCTTATGACGGTTTTCAATGGCTTTTTGTACTTTGCAATTCGCCCATGCAGAAATTACGTGCATCAGTTCAAATCCCCTGAGTGGTTCCTGTCCTTGTCTCTGGAAACAGCGGAGCTGAAGCAGCATCTTAAAAATAGAAAGCGGCCTGTCTTCCCGGTCCATCCCTACTCGGTCTGGCCTCCTTTTATGAAATACATCTCGGTAAGCCAGCCTATTCTTGTGTGACCATGATGCTAATTAAGGATTCCCTCTTATGTTTGGTCCATAAATTGTATCCAATGATGTGTGATTATATTGCTATAAAGATATGCTATTGGTTTTAGTCAAAGTAACTCGTAGTAGAGGACCTAGCATTGCTATTCAACTCTTTGTCTTAATCTCTTGAATACAAGAATGGACGTGTTTTTAATCATCGAATCTTAAAAATTCATTTCTTTTATTAAGTCTGAACACTTTTTCTATTCTTCAATAAAATAAATATAATGTTAAGATGATTACAATTGGATAGAGGAGTTTGTATCCTATAGATATTGCACTCTAGGAAAAACATACGTCGCCTTGTGTTTGTATCCAAAGGTTTCTAATTGGGGTGTTTTTTCGTGAGGATTCTAATTAGGGGTGTTAAATCCAATTAAACATTCACCACTCATTCTAATTATGTTAGTTTGATTTGTAATTAAGACACTCAAATCTGATTAATAACCGTTGTTAATTACATCAAATCTTAACTGTTACTTTTTCAATTGCTTTCGTATTATGGTTATAATAACAGTAGATTTTAAAGGTTCTAGATGGCAGTGGTGTATCAGTAATTTATTTCACTTTCATTGCTTCTGTAAAAGCTAGATAAAATGATTAGAATCGCCAGAATCTATTGCCTTGCACATATTTTCTCTGCACAAAAACTTGCATTTTTATTTACACGGAATTTCCTTTTTGTCATAGGAGGATTCAAAATCTGAGGTTACTGGAAACAGTGTCGAAGATGGTTCTGAGATCACAGGAAAGGATTCGTCTGTCCTTATAAAAGCTTTACGATCATATAAAGAAGCTTTGATCAAGGATGGCGATGCAAATGTTGCAGAGATAGAGGCCTTCTCGCTTTGCATTGACATTGAGGACGAGAAGAACTCTCTTGTGAGGAAAATCATGGCTTTAGATGAACTGTTAAGAACTGTGAGAGATCTTGTCTTGAGGGCGGGTGCAGACCCTGAACTCGCAGACTGTGAATTCTACAGACAGAAGATCAAAAAAAGAGAGCTGGTGGAAAATGTGCAAGGGAAAGTTATGGAGAGGTTTCTGCGCTAGCTGATTAAGCCTATCCATCAGGAGCAAGTCAGTTTTTCTTGGCATTGGTACTTCAGGTTTTAGGTTCTGTGATGATGGTGCTAGGTTTCTGAATAAACACTGATGGTTGTGACCATCATCAGTATTCGGTATGACTGGTTGGCAGGAGACTTTTTCTAGAAGTGCATTTATGTACGTTAGCTTTCGTCAGTTATCTTTCCATTTTCTTTTAGAAATGCATCTATGTGCGAGCGAGTTTGAAGATCATATTAAGGCGTGTGGCCATTCTCTGTTGAATAATAACAGTAATATGGTAACTTCCTTAGATTTTCCTTACACCGTGATGCTTGTAATGTGAAATCATAACCGCATTGCTTTTTTATACAAAATGACCAAAAGATTAATGTGCTATCCACCTGCCGGCTGATTGTTGACAAAGATCGGCAGGGTCGAGAACCATTGGATGAATGTGATCAAGCGGCCACCTGCCAGCTGCTGCAACATAGGTGACGTGGCAATCTGACTGCAACATCAGTCATGTTGTAATCCGGCCGCAATATCAGTCATGTTGCCAATCCTGAGCCGAACGAGCAGCTTGTCAGCCGCAAGCAGGACGGTGACCGCCAACCGTGTTGTGCGGCGCTGCTACGGGGCGGCGAGGTGCTGCTTCTGCAACGTGGCCGCTGCTGTGGTAAGGATGGACATGACAACGTGGCGTTGCAGTACCGGCGCGCATGCAGCAGCACACCGTCCCCAAGCGCGGGCTTGCAGCGGCATGTCGTACTCGAGCGTCGGCTGTAGCATCGAGTAGTTTGCGGTAGCCGCGCATAGCTGACAGCAGCATGCTTGTAGCAATTGATGTTGGGTGCTTTGTGAAAACCTAACAGACATAGTCGATGTTAGGGTATTTTCAGGGGAAACTTATTAGGGGATTTTCCCTGAAAGTCTGTTAGATGAGAGAAATAGTGAATTGAGTTGTGATGCACACTAACTTCTTGAGGTACGACACCTTGAGATTATTATACGCAAGGTTTAGTCGTAGTAGGCTTAGTAGCTTTCCAAAACTAGGGATTTCTCCAACAAGACTATTATTTGATAAATCTATCAGTACTAGGCTACTAGCACAAAAGCATTGCAAGCGTACCACATACACTGGTTGCACCTGACAGCCTATTCTCGCCAAATTATGAGTAAATTGTGAAAAAACACCACAATTGCGAGCGAGTTCTTTAAAAATCACCATTTGACAAACAATCTCACTGTTAAAAATATGTTTGGAGCAATGAGTGCTTGATGCAACAGGTTTGATTGGATGGAAAGTTACCTCCAAAACAAATTGTAAAGCAATCCTTAGGAATTTTTCCTAATGATTCCATACCTATGAAGCAAACAACCTGTATATGAAAATTTTCTAAGGATACAAATTCTCCAAAATTTCTATGAAGTTCTTTTGAATCAAAGGAGCCCTGAACGATGTAAAGTCGCTAGGGATGGTAAGAGATCACAAGGGAATGCTTCGTTACCTTGAGCAGGAGGATATTGGATCTGACTTTGTTGACTGCGTGCGATCGGTGGAGAATCAGGAGAAACCCTCGAGGAAGGCTCGTAATTTAGTACAAGCCTGACGGCCAATACCTACAACCCTAGTGGAGATGCTGAAAACCCCTAATTTGGCCCTGTTTGCGGCACAATTTAGGTATATCACATGCGAGGCCGGGCCGATAGTGCTCGCTCGCATCACTAGTTCTTTTTTTCTATTCGTTCCTTCAAAAAAACTAGCAGCTGGTGACCCGAAAAAAAAACCGAGCACATCATTTCTGATAGATTTGACAAAGTTCAAGAATTTAAAAAATATTCACGGGTATAAAAAAGGGACATTTCCTTTTTTTTCCCTAATTTCCACCCGGTCTCATCTTTACCACTAAAAAACAGTGCTCAACTTTACCTCTCTTCCGTCTGGTGCCCTTATGGAAATACCCCTACGTGTTGTTTTCGTCCATTCAAAGTGGTTTGGCCGTTAGATGGACGTTTTCTAGAAATAGATGCCCTTGTGTGCATATGCCACTGACATGTGGGACCTACCCTTGGAAAAAAAACCTCACTCTCTTACAGGTGGACCCCACCCTAGAAAGTCTCTCTCTATATATATACTAGTATGTATACACGTGCAATGCACGTCTTAATAGTGTAGTTCCTATGATCCTAGTAAAAGAAGAAAAAAGCATATAGTACTTTGAAATGAATTCAGAGCAAAAATAAATATTGTTGGTGTATACATGCAGAGAAGTAATAAAAACTTGGTAATTAGCATGATAGAACGCCTGTGGCCTACCGACATCCAGAAATTTCCGTAGGAAAAAATAATAAAGATGTACGTGGTGAAACCCACAAATTGTTTGCTTTTGTTTCTCCTCCTAGACAATACATCTCTCGTACTCAGCCAAGGGCGAAGCCAGGACTTATATATGAGGGAGGCGAAAAGTCAATGTCCATAAAAGTTACGAAACATCACGATATGTTATGTATGTCTCATGATAGCATTGATGAAAAATCATCATAATATATATCTAGAAGTACAAAAGAATGTTACATATATGTTAACTTAAATTGAGCTCTACTGCCACGAGTGTTGAACAAGTTGATAATGTCAACTTTACAGTTATTTTTCTTTACAATCATGTAATGTAAAGAAAATTGTTTTCATTCTTCTATTTCAAAAACATTTCTTGAAGACAACTGGAAGAGAACTAAAGCAATTAGCGTTTATCATCAGTGTTTTTGCCATTGTCAATTCTTTTGTGCAGTGATTTTTGCCATGAATTATGAATGGCGGTTTTCTGCTAATGAATTTGGTATTGTGGTTGTCTTTTACATTTCACTGGGCTGCAACAAAAAACGCCCTAAGTAGTCTAGCCGAACACACACGTAGATCAACCAATCAATCGGATCGATTAATTATGCAAGGGCAAAACAATAGTTAGCCACACCTACATGTATGGCTACATGGCTTTGGTCTTCTCTATATTCGATGTAGTTGATTCAAAAGTTTATTCCATGTACTCCCTCCGTTCCAAAATTCTTGTCTTAGATTTGTCTTGATATGGATGTACGTATCAAGACAAATCTAAGACAAGAATTTTAAGACGGAGGGAGTATATTTTTTATACGAACTAATGATGCAATTAACTGCGGCCATTAGCCGATATACAGTATATAGCCCGCTAAAAACGTTCACTTGTCTCCGCCCCTGTCTCGGCTCTTTGCCTAAGGCCGGTCGTAATGATAGTATCATAGCTAGTATCATGCATGCCAACTAGACTATTTCGCTGATGTGGCATAGAATTAAATGAAGAAAGAGAGTGTTGGGTATCATATCATGATACTGTATCATATTAAATGCTATGCTACTATGTGTCATGTATGGCAATGAATAAGATTACCTATGATACTAATATATGATACTGTGCATTACGAAGGTAGTATCATAGCTTAGTATCATGTGCATGATACTAAGGTATGATACTACCCATTAGAAGCAGCCTGATGCAATGGCACATGCAACATGGGGAGAAGAGAGGAGTTGTGACGCGATTGTTCCAGAAACCAGCGGATGCAGCTGCGAACTACTGTTCACTGCGAATCCTTTGAGTCTCAACCATTAGATTTATGAGACCAACGGATAGGATTGTGTTGTTGTTTCAATTCAAAACTTGTACACTGTATAGTAGTATAGATATATCCTGATCTGTCGAGCCCACTTGTCGATGGCACATCCCGGCGAGATCATCGCCGGCGACCAAACCACACGGCGGAGTCCGCATGGCAGGCCACGGGAGCGGAGGATGAGGCTACCAGGGTAAACCCGGAGCTCGTGCGCATCCAGGGGACGCAAACAGGAGGTTGCGGGGTGGACGAAGGTGAGCTGGCGGCGGACCTAAGCGGCGGCAACAGCTCAGACGCGACGGTGACAACTCTACAAGGCAACGGCGTGCAGGCTGAGGGGCAAATTAGCCTCCTGGAGATGCGAGGAGCACACTGACGAATCGAGTGACAACAGCGCTCGGTGCAGGAGACGAAGACGGCGACGGTTTGGTTGATTTCAGCCCTCCTAGATCGAACCCGTCGGTGGTGAGGTAGAGGGCATCCTCGCAGTCGCAGAGCTCTTGGACATGGTGGTTGGACAGGCGCTAGCCGGTGGCTATGCGGATGTTGAATGGCAGCTCTCGGAGACGGTCCTAGCACAAGCTTGAAGACGACTGGCTACGGTGGTGGGGTGGGCTGGCTACAGGTAAGTTTCACTTTGTCTTTTTTTTCCTTTCCTTTCGTTTCTTTATTTTTCTTTACGAGGGGTAAAAATGTCCAGGAAACGCCCATCATCTGACGGTCAAACCCTTTTGACCAGACGGAAACGACACGGAGGAGTATTTCTATAAGGGCACCGGAAGAGGGGCAAAGTTGAGCACTATTATTTTAGGGCTGAAGATGAGACTACGCGGAAATTTGAGGGTGGGGGGTTGTCCATTTAAAAAATGATCATGAATTTGAAAATGTTCATGGTTCAAAACAAAGTTTGTGATGTTTATAAAATGTTCACTAACTTTATTTTATTTTTTGAGATTTTCGAAAATTGATATCAATTTTGAAAAATGTTCACAATTTTTTTAAAATATTCATATGTTTAGAAAAATGTTCATGGATTTTCATTACAAAAATGATCCACATCTATTATCAAAGTTCATAAAAATATAAAGCACCTCAAACATAATAGAAATTACATCGAGATTCCGAGACCACCCCAACGACCACTACTACCCCCAGAATGAGCTGTCGGCGCGGTGTTGTAGCTCACTCCTACCAAAGCCAGTTTGACCTTGTTGATAGCAGCCACAGTCTCATGCACAATGTTTATAATATCATTTCTAAAAGGATGACATTGAATTTTAAAAAATGTTTGCAATTTTTTAAATGTTCGTGAGTGTTGAAAAAAAGTGTTCATGGTTTCTTTTGCGAAAATGATCCAG